CGATTGCACTAAATAATCAAATCGAGCTGCGAGGTCGCCAACTGAAACAAGCATTTCAAGTAAATTTTCATTCTTCGGAGAAGTAAATCCTCGTTCTGACAAAACCTCGAATCAATGGTAAGTTCTCACACTCTTAACGCCGATTTTTTCCCCTTTATCAGTTGGTTGCAATTTCATTTCATTTGTACAGTTTCTGCCCTAAATTTTGTTTGGTTTCTCATTTTTATCTCTTTAGTGAAAAGTATATATAACTGATGGGAGAATTGAGCTTTAGTTTGAGTTAGCTTAAGGTTTCTATCCGCTACTGTTGTAATGTTCTATTGGTAATATCTGAAACTGCGACCAAGTGATGAGTCGGGTATGGAGTTTGGTGATTGGATTCACCTGACGTAACTAACGCTGATGCTTAAAAATTGGTTGCTGAAGAATTAAATGTTATGTAAACTGACGAATTAAGGTAGAAAAATGTTAGTTTTGTAAAATGAGGTATAATATGCTTAAGTAAATGATAGTGCTTCATATTTATTTGTGCACTGTTGGGGAAATAGATCAATGATTAGTGACACAGATCCACGGAACATGACTTCAGCGCTATTTCATGTGATGTTTCAGCCCATCTAGGTTTTATTTGCTAAACTCATAGTTTTTAAATTTCTCCCTCTGTAAACTCACTGAAACTGATTCAGGATCTCAAAACAAAATGATATATTAGTATATGGGCCCAAACTTTTGAGTATTAACTTTACTATCTTTTGGATCAGAGTTGTTGTTCATATGTTGGATGTTGTAAGTGATGTTAGAGGAAAAACACACTAGGTAGAAAAATTAAAAAAGAAAGAGGAGATACTACAGTTGTGACTCTAATCAACTGGTAGTAATTTGTCACATCTTGGTAAACTTAGTGATGAGCATGGATAACGAAAATAATGTCATTCATTAATCTAGTAATTAAGGTTGTTGCAATCTATGTACCAAAAAAGAGGTTTGCAATCTCTGATTTCCTTTCTTTTTATTCCTGAAAATGGTGCTTGTAGGAGACGTGCCCCTCTGTAAAAAATATCCTTCTTCTGGATTCTGAAGGTAAACGTGTGGCTATTAAATATTTTTCAGATGACTGGCCAACAAACAATGCAAAGGAAGAATTTGAGAAAGTCGTGTTTACCAAAACACAAAAGACAAATGCTCGTACTGAAGGTTTGCTATTGCTTTAACTAATATCTTAAGCAAAGTTCTCCCTCTCTCTCTTTTATGTTGTGGCCATGTGGACAACCATGCTTGCACTTTGCCATGTTGCATGGACTTGGGTGCCTCTGGCATAGGTATGATCTAAATATTTGAGTTACTAATTTTTATAGTCAAAGTTAAGGAGACTTGGCCAATTAGCCTATACGAAGGTAAGAAGATGTCATGTGTATAAGAAATTACAGTCTTTACTACAAAAACAATAGCAAATATTTTTAATGAGATTTTTTCTAAAAGATGGTTTTATAGTAATTAGTAATTTACAACTTGAAATATTTATTATATAAAAATGTTCAAATATTTATACATTTATGAGCTGATATTTCAGTTTAGATTTTTTTTTTCAACTTCTAGCCGAAGGCTATCATTGGAATAATTTTGAACTTTTTGTAGAGTTCATTTGTGAATTCTCATTTATTGCAACTAGAAAATTGTAAAAATCTTCTTAAAATACCAGAAATCAGTTATAGAGTTTCGCGTTGAATTGGAACTATGCATTCTAAATACTACTAAAATTGTTGGAAATTAGAAGGCGTCATTCCCACTCAACATGAAGCCCCGGACAAAATCAGTTTTTATCTAATAGAATTTACGTTCTCTCCTAATCGAACTAAATGTGGATTTGCTAGTTAATTCCAAAAAATTTCTAAATTTATTTTAAATGTAGCCTAAAAGTCTTCTTGATCGCTCATGTTATCATATATCATCACTTCTAGTTCTGGATCATCAATTGTCTGACATGGACATCAAGTATCAAATACATATCCCACACCTGCACCAGTGTCGTATCACGTCCTGAACTGATATGGCACTAAAACTAAAGAATACGAGTAAAAGAGGCATTATGCATTTCCCAGCATGCTTTGGATTCAAATCCATGCATTGCATGTGGGCGGTGAATGCATACTTCAATGTAGATCATGATACATTAGTTATTTAATCTTTTGTAGTATTTTTGTCAATCGAATCCAAGTATCTTTATCCAATTTCCAGACTCGTATGAATCCCTGTATCTATGGATATAGAAGTTACCAGGTCAGACACAGGCTTTATGCTATTGTTGTATTTACTGCAGAAGTGCATGGGACGCTTATTTTTGTGGGTTGATCACATAATATAGGTAAACAACTAAAAGCAGTCACCATAGGTTGAGTGAAATTTCTTTTTAAAAAAAGATGGTTGAGAGAAGTGAGAATATAGAAACTTGTCTGAGGACATTATTGACTTTGATTGAAAAAGTCATGTTTCTTATAAATTAACTGGATATAAGTTTGTTTTGCTGTTTTTAAAAGTTTACAAATTTGTGTGGTTTTACAATTGATTGTGCCATTGGATAACTTTTGATCTTGCTGGTGCTATATTAATATTCGTTAATTATTCATTGACAGCTGAGATAGCAATGTTTGAAAACAATATTGTTGTCTACAAGTTTGTTCAAGATCTCCACTTTTTTGTAACTGGGAGTGAAGATGAAAATGAGCTTATCTTAGCCATTGTTCTCCAGGGATTCTTTGATCCAGTTGGCCTTCTCCTTAGGTTTGTCCAATAACACCTTGTCTGGTTACACTTTCTTTTATCGATATAAATATTTTATTGGAGACTGAATAAAATTTTCACTACTATTCCTTGCAACAGAGGCAGTGTGGACAAACGAGAGGCACTGGAGAATCTAGATCTTGTTTTGTTATGCCTTGATGAAATCGTTGATGGCGGGTATGCAGCATCCTCCTTTATATTTGTAGCTTAACTCATCCCAGTTTGCTGGTACAGCTACCAATAACACAACCCAGCCCCTGCAAACATAACTTCATCAGTCATTTTTATCAGTAAAGAATCTCATAGTTTTACCATTTGGAGTTGATCTATGAATTAATGGTATGAAACCATGACAGTTGAGTCATGAATAATCTCGGAGGAATTCAGTTTATTACGCAATTGAATGTCATTACTTGGCATATTGCCAATGTTGTTAAAAGGCTTGAGCTGGTAATGCTAGTGATCTGTTCTACGTGTGGATTGATTCTGGCAAATGCTTGGTATACAAGCAGTTTATTATACCATGCTTACCTTTTCATAGGCCTCCAGCACATCAAGGGAACATTTAGGATATGCAGATTACAAAACACAGGAATATTTAGGGGTCCATCTGAATCCTTGCTTTCCATCTCTCATCTTCTTCTCTTTGGTGGATTGGTAAGAGTTTTTAGGTGTTCATCACACGTTACTAACTCAATTTTGTTATATATATGTAGTATTATACTCGAAACTGATGCAAATGTTATTGCTGGGAAAGTTGCAAATCATACTATGGATGCTGGGGCTCCTTTGTCCGAGCAGGTTTGCAATTCTGGTTTCTCATTAGACCCATTACCCTCACTCATGTCTTCTTCCATTATTCTCTCTTCAAAGAAAATCACGCACACTTTTGCATTGGTTATAGATATATATATATATTCATTTTTTTTTTTGTTGTGGCAGTCAATAAGCCAAGCGTTGGCCACTGCGCGTGAACATTTAGCAAGATCTCTCCTCAAGTGATGCTTGCAAGACATTATAGGCTGGTCTGGTGGATAGAGAATCAGGTTACTTCTGAATTAATTTTTTGGGCTGCCAAATGCTCTATTTCCTATGTGCATTTTGATGTTCTTTTTTTTTTTCAAATTATTTTCATGGTTTTTGTTTAAATTGGCATGGATGTGATGTAACGGCCCCGAAAATTTAAATGAAATGTATGTATTAAAAATCTCAAATGCGGAAGCGTAATAAAAAAAATTTGATTAATATCCCTTACACAATAACCAAAACGTACTCAAAACATAAAGGAACAAACTGACTGAAAGAGATACTCGGAATAAGAACTATAAATATAACTATGAAGTGTTTAGGCGTCCCCTTCGCCGTCTTCCTGCGGAACGGGCTCGGAAACAACGTATTCCTGATATGAAATGGTTAAATAAGGGATGAGCTACACCAGCCCAGTAAAGACATCACACTATCTCACCGCCACGGAAGTAAAGGTGGGTAGAAAACAAAAATGACCAATGGAGCATAATTTATAACAAACTCGTTTATTAACATAAAAACCTTTACTGTCCACTTACCTCAGTGAGATCCATGAAAACAACATATGAAAGCAATAACATTATCATCATCATGAAATCATATAGACTTTATAACATAACACTTACCACGCCTTTGCATTTCAATCATTAAACAACATATTTTCCTCATTTACCAGCCTACTAGTATCCATGGGGATCCATAGGGGGTCCCCGCTACCCGTGAACCATTAACATTATAACCTGATTTCAGGGTCGTCCCAATGCCCCGTCCGGTATGGGCGCCAAAACCATGAACCTCAATACCCCGTCCGGTATGAGGGTGAAACGGGCCGTCCCCATACCCCGTCCGGTATGAGCGCCAAAACATATAAGGTCTCCATACCCCGTCCGGTATGAGAGACCACGTTCCCGGTAGGGTTCCCTACGGACTCAGTCCGTCCACCATCTCCCAAGATATCTAGTCAGGCTGTCCACATTATCCAA